CACGGACGTAGGCCAGGCAATTTCGATACCAGGAATCGCGGTAACGAGGAACAACGAACACTTTGTCCAACGGACTACGAGTAAGCATGCAGAAATCGCTAAAACACAGCCCCGAGGTTCCTCAACCACGTGCTCGAGCCTTGTAAACCAACAACGTTGGATAAGTTTGCTCGGCTTTTTTTCCCCTTTGTTTCTTTGCTGGATGCCTTCCCTTCGGCCCGGTTAAATGCTCTTTTCTTTTCGCAGAAGTGAAATTTATATTCATAAGAGGAAACTCGTGCGAGGGAACACGGGGTTGAGAAAGTGAGCTACTTTTATTTCTGAATATATTACCTAGTCTTAAGATGCTTGATGTCTAATATTTATTTTTTAAATTTACGAAAAATTACTTTATACAGACGCAAGGTGTAGGGAAGTAATGTTTGCTACGAGTTATTTATTTAAAATGAAAGAGAAATGTTAAAGGGTTGTAGCTTATCTTGAAAGGAAAGTAGAAATATTTTCATAGGATGAATCAATAAATCCATGAACCTCAAATTTATCTAAAGGTATAAAAATAGGTTTGCAGGAATGTTGAAATATCTCTGCGATACACACCCTTCGATATTATCGCATTTCTTCTTATTTGATCACTTTAGTCTTCATCTCGAAATTGATCAGAATTTCTGCAACGGAATTACGAAGATTCGATCGCGTCCGATCGTCAACAACATTTTCACAATGGAAATTCCGTGTAAAGCAAACGCATACACGCAAACCGAGCAACTGAATCGAACTAATTGGATCGTCCTGTTTAAATCCACGATCCTAAATAGTATATAAACAACCGTGAAAGCGGCCGATTCACTTTTCCTTATCTCGACAGTTGCTCCACTTGAAAAGTTTCGCAGCAAGTTTGAAAACGACAGTCTTCACGTGTCTCCATATTCGTCGTTCCTTCCCTTTCTTACGTCCAATTAAACTATAAAACCAACTCGTTCCTTTTAAAATGGTATTACGCTCGTTCCTTAAATTAACAACTTTATTTTTCGATCAACGAGCGGCGAATCGAGACATTCCGACCGAATATAGTCGTACACGTCGTTTCCCGCGATATTTCGTCGATATCTCGTAATGAGAGGAAACACTAACGGTGTATAATTTCAGTATATATTCGTACGTTATGATAATTAGTTTCAATTCGGACAGAAAACTGTCTGTATCCCTTCAGTTTAATTTCAACTTTCGTCTTCGTTCCAATATATCTTCCGAAAAATTTTCAAATGATTTTGTTATTTAAAATTGTTGCAAAATTACGTTTATAATATTTCGAAGCTTGAGGAGTGATAAAAATGACTATGTATATTTTCCGAATTTTTGTTGTATTTTTGTGTCAAATACCGTCATATCTGACGTCTCTTTTGTTAAAATAAACATAACGTAAATAACGAATTATCAGCTGAGTATCATGATATGATATTATAACTTTGAAAGTGAGTTTTGGGAAAATATTAAAACAGCGTGTTATGAATAAAATCAGCAACAAAGTTGAGAGAAATTATGATTGTCGAAAGATAAGGTGAAATAATGAATATCTGAATGGACATTATACAGAAAATTCATTAAACATTCATTATGCAAAACATTCATTATCCAGAGAAACTTCGCAGGAAGTAATTTTTTAATTTTACCGTCGGAAAAGAGTTTCGAAAGAAAAACCTTCCACATCGAACAGAAAAAAGCAAACAGTCGCGGGTTTCTGGAGCATATCTACGGAATTTGTTTCTCCGATACGTTCCCCGCATTCTACCTTTTTCCAAACAGATCCTAATGTTGAGTTTCGTGTTTAATGATCTGATATTTGGATTTGGAGAAAACACGAGGTGCAAACGAAATTCGGATATGTCCGAAATAATTCGGACCACGATGCTTTAAATTGTGGTAAGAAATAGGGATGTAAATGATTATCCAGTTAAATCACTGAACAGAAAAGTAAACAGTGAAATTCCAGTAATTAAGCTCGAAGTTTAATCTAAATGTTCCACGGCATTGTAAATCAAATCCACCGCAAACTGACCGTTTCTGAGACAGATCTCAAGGACGATTTATTAAAAAGCACCGTAATTTATTATTCGAACGCGTGATCGAACAAACACGATTTCGCTTTTCCAGTTTCCGAACTCGTATAAACGAGAAGTTCGAAAACATAAATCAAAAATCCTGTTCCACGGATTTAATATCTGGTCGTATATTCGAAAAAACTGCATCGTAATTGATCAACGTCTAACATCGAAAACACGGGGCTTTGAATCCACCTGAATAAAAAATTAAGTCTGACTTATTTCTTTAGGAATCGGTGGAAGAAATGATTAGCGAGCTCCAAAATATACGTATGCAAATTGACGACATTTCAATGCAGGTTTCTTTTCACGTGGATCGATTCTTTGTAATGTTCTGCTTAAGAGAGTTCGATAATGCATAGAATGTCAAAACAAGAGGTGGTTCGTGAGATATTGCACATTTTTTAATAACATATGTCACATCGATTTAATACTTTTTGACAGATAGTGTTTCGGAGAAATTGTCGATATATGTACATATGTGTAATCAGAGGATATATGATACTATTTAAAAAAATAACACTGTAGAATGGAAGATTCCGTTTAAAAGAAAAGTACTTCACATTAAAATCTTTTGTAGAACTAACCTTGGGAAAAATTGATTTTACCATCGTGAACTTCAATGCAGTTGAACTCTTGACATTTCAAAAATAAAATAACGAAGCAACAGTTGAATGTTATACAAAAAAGTATAACAACAAAATAGCAGAAAATTTGACAATAAAATAGTAGAAAAAATAAGTAATAGTATAAAAAAATAATACTCAGAATAGTAATAAATCCCATAAGATAGAACCCTAAAATACATAAAATAAAAAAAAAATAAACAGTAAAATAAAACTCTACAATATACAATAAAAATAGAATTGTAAAATACTATAAAATAAATCAACAAAATACTAAAATAAAATATTTATAAAAATAAAAAAAATACAGGTGATTTTACCCTCTCAAGATACGTGAGTCCATTAAACCCTAAAGGGGTTAAAGAACTCCCTTTTCTTCCACAACCAACAGGGTCCAGGAACAATTAGAAATCTCCAGATGGTAAAAAATGAGTTGACGTAGGGAATTTTTGATTTCCATTCTCCGGGGCGTTCTTTAGCCCCGTCGATCGTACACCTCGCACGCAAACACGCTTAACCGCGAGCGTACGCGACAATAGCGGTACCGAAGTCGTTTTATTGTCGCGGTACTTATTGTCCGAGTGGTATCACCACTCGTAAACACTGTCCCGCCGCTGAAAGCATGCTTCGTGGGCAGATTTCGTAATCGTTTTAGAGGTTACGACGAAGGTTAGACCTACAGTGAGACCAGCTTTTCCCGCTTCCACTAAAACTATCCTGTCCGTTGCGACGCATTGCGGACCTCGGGGACCAAACGAACCAATAGTGAGTGCATTATCAACCCTTTCACACTCGATATTTCTACGCGAAAGATACGTGAAAATATTCCCTTTAATTGACATCAGATTTCTTGCGGACGAAATTATCTCTACACTTGCATAAGTGAAATATTTAGTTCTTTATGGTTTTAGTAACTATTGATTATTTCATTAATGTATAGTTCAAGGATGTAAGTTGAAAGGTGGGTAAATATTATTAAATGTTATTAGGAGGTTATTGGTACATATTTGTACTACTACTGGTACTAATTAGTAACATTGGTAATATTGGTGATTGGTCATATTGATGATTAGTGATATTGGTGACTGATAATATTAATGATTAATGATATTGGTGATGGGTAATATTGATGATTGGTGATATTGATGATTGGTAATATTGGTGATTGGTAATATTGATGATTGGCGATATTGATAATTGGAAATATTGATGATTGGTAATATTGATGATTGGTAATATTGATGATTGGTAATATTGATGATTGGTGATATTGGTGATTGGTAATATTGGTAATTGGTAATATTGAAAATTGATAAGATTGCAAATTGGTAATATTGGTAACTGACAATCTTGCTAATTGATAATATTGGTAATATTGGTAATTTGTAATATTGGTAATTGATAATATTAGTAATTGGTAATCAGCAATATTAATTAGTACTAATCAGTAACATCACCCCATATCACTATTACTCAATATAATCAAATAAAGATTTCTTAAAAATTGTTTAAAAAACCATGTCAAAGGTACCTAATACGCCCTAACTTTTAAACTGGACTGTTATGATATAACTACCATGAGAATACTGAATTACGGAGTGAGGAGATTATTATAGCACTCTAAATGTCATTTCTTGATTTTATAAATGCACTGATACGTACACCATCCGCAAAACTAAGTTTTACTACACGATTTCAAATTTAAAGGAAAATAAATGTCATGTGTGTTATGTACACAAGACTTGAAAGGGTTAACGTAATACACGTAAATTCGAAATTTGTAAAGACTATGAATGTATAACTATCAATAACTACAACAACACTTCGATCTTTGCTATCATTGACTTTCATATAAACACTTCCTATAAGCAAAGAACAATTCAACCGCCTTTTTTATTACCACTATTAAATAACAAATACTTCAATCATTAAAACTACATTCTAACTGAAATTAATTTAAAAAACACCCTATTTGATAAATCATTTGTTTGACAAATCACCCCATTTGATACATAAACCCGAAAAGAAAGTAGCGGATCTGCATATTTTCAAACGTCACTTTTCGCGCGTTTTTTTAAAACCGCAATTACCTCCAAAACGACGCATCATTCATAACTCGATAACACTGTCAACTGTCCCAGTCGAAAGTAAGCATCAAAAACCACAATAAAGAAAAGGAAGACATGAAACGCTACTTTAGATCAAACTACAAATTATGGAAATAGAAATGTCATTACAGATATTAACCAACAAACTGTCAAATTAAAACACTCACCGGTGACGACCGTGAAGAGGTTAATCGCGAAGCATAGTCCAGGATGGTCGCAGATCGAACAAACGAAAGACCAGGACGAATTGGCAGGGTGGAATCGTAGTCCGATGATGATTTATCAGTCTTTATTTTCGCAAGGCACAAGTGTCACCACACCGAGGCACGATTCACAAGACGTTCGCGACGCGACGTTTCGTAAAACGTGTCGCGTTTAAATTTCGTTCGCGATATGTCAACGAATCGAAAGGAAAACACCGGGAATTTTCGGGGAGTGGATGGTACGTGAGCTTCGATCGATGTCCGTGCGCAGACTGCCCGCACCTCGCTGCTTGCCGGGCGTTCGTCATGTTGCGGTCTCTCTTCGTCTCCCTCCAACGTTTAACCTTCTCTCTCTCAGCCCCCACTATTTTACCTCGCGCCGTCTCACTCGTGCCTCTTCCCAATCGAAATATAACACTGAATTTCGTCCTGAGTACCGTGCCACCACCGAACATCGAACGTTTTCCCCCGTTTTCCGTAAATTCGCACTGATCCCCTGTGATTCCCGCGAGCTTTTCCATTTTTAGCGGTTTCCCGCGCCTGCGCGGACGCGCGGTGCGCGCGCATCCACCACCCGGTTCAAACGACGCGCTACGGAGTATTTGATTTAATTGAAATTTTTTTTTTCTTTTTAAAGCAAAACGTTTGTAGATATAACTGAATACGAAATTATCGTTGATTTTTGGATATGATCAAGTGCAACCACGTTCTTAAATTACCAGTTTACTAATTCCCTACTTTCCAGATTTCCAATCCCTCAGTTCTGCAATTTAATTATTTAAATTCTTAAATATAAAAATTAAAAAATTTCCATACCTCCAAAATTGTTAAATATCAAAATTAAAGAATTTCCATAACTCCAACTCGTATTCCCAAATAAAAAAAATTTCAAATTCTTCGATATCTAAATATTACCTTTCCATTCCTATAAAGTTTGTGTCATCCTGTAATCTCGAAAATCTTCCCTACAAATTAAAATTGCAGGAATGTAAAAAAATGACGAAAAATGAGAATCATTCGATTACATACAGACTGAGTACAGTTGTATAACGATTTCTATGCATCACAAATCATTTGTCTATCATAACTTTCTTCGAAGCAACACGTACAAAACTATCGGAACAGGTAAAACTCTATTAATAGACTGACCTTACTTTATTTCTTATAACGTGGCGGTATCGATTTCTGAAAGGTCGATAAACCTATTATGCAAGCACTATAACTTCCGAAGTGCCCTCTTAAATCGCACTCTCAGTCCATAGACCTTTCATAATTGTTCATCAAACAATTAAGAGATTCCAGCAGTCGATAAGAGATATCTTTTTAGGACACGTATTATGAAAGAACTCTTTTCACGTCGATTAACATCGTTTACTGTCATTAAACCAGAAACCTTTAATTGTACATGTACATTTAATTTAATGGTATAATCAGTTTCTAACAGGAAGTGCAACGGTACCGATGGTACTCGTAAATTATATAATAATACAAACCGATTATTTAATGAACTACTGCATTCCTACATAGATAAATTAGTTTGATAGCGGTTTTTCTTTTTTACATACGAATTCGAAAGCTTCTAATAAAATGCATAATAGTGATTTGTACAAACGTGCGATGCGTATATCTACCTGTGATTAAAATTTTATTTCGGTATGTAATAAAAAGTGACATGTATGTTATTTATTACAGTAGTGTAATAGAAGAAATATGTAGTGTAAGAGATAGTATTGTACAATATTGTACGTGAAATTGTTACCCAGTTAATATTAATAAAGTTAGGTTAACGGTCACTTACATTAATGGAATATTTGTTCTCTCGAGAAAGAATAATAAATAACACACAGTGGAGAAAGGAAAAAAATATATAAAAATATTTTTTTTTCTTTTAATATAATTTTTTCTAGTTATTTTACCGACAGTGTTATTACTGAATAATTGAATTAAAATCGAACAATAATTCCGAACGATTTTGTTCACCGTGTTCGAATTAAAACCCCGAAATTCCCCATAAACTGTGATTTCCAAATTACCATTTTACGTGTCAAAACATGCGTCACTAATTATACGCCCATGCTGAACAAACCTCCCGTTCGCTTTAACAGGTTGTACCATTAAGACGATCAAAACCTTCGCGTAAAGAATTACTCGAGCGTTTTCTCGTAATTAAACGCAAGAATGTATGTTTTAAGAAAATACATACCAGTATTGCGGCCCGCGATTATCTGGCTCGTGCACCATTAAGCTCATTCTCGTTTTCTCTTATTTTGGACATAAAACGCCGAACCCCGTATTACCTTCGGAGCAGAGGAAAAAAAAGAGAACGAAACAAACGCATCATCGAAAGTTTTGGTGTCCCAGGGAGCAACAACACCTGTCGGCTAACACTTATTTCAACTTTTCGAACAGACTGAATAAACGACTGGTCCCGTACCGGACTACGCCTCGTTAATTACCGCTTAATTTCTCAGCGAATAAGAAAGTGCCATTAGGGCTGCGAGATGCAGTATGTGAAGGATGTGTACGTATAAATCAAAATTATCAATTTTCAAGTTATTTCTATATTTTTGTATAATTAGAATAGGTAGATTTGCGAATTTTTACGGATTCAAAATTTCAAGTGTTCCAAAGTTTACAGCAAAGATAAAAACTTCTATAATTATGTAGGGAGTGATAGATTTATGGAGGATGTTGAAGTATGACAGCAGTGGCAACACTTTCCATTATATTGAATATTTACCATATTGAATATTTAGTTACCATGTGGAATATCTTTGAAATTAAAGCCGATCGGCAGTTATATGTGCAATGAAAATTTGTTCGGAATGAAGCCCTTGACAAAATATTTTGAGGTCATCGAAATTGGACAAACATATACCATTTTGTAAATAATTACCATATTGAGACTACTTCTGCAAATATCTCTGAAATTAAAGCCGATCAACAGTTACATGTGTAATGAAAAATTATTCAGAATGACGTCCTTAACAAAATATTTCCAGGTCATCGGTGAATCCTATATCTTTTTATGAACAATTATAAAGATTTCTTGAAATATTCGTAGTAATCAGTCACGCAATTTTCCTCAGTTTTCCCGTATTCTTGACGAAGCTAAAATCGCCCGAAGGAAAGATGATTGTCGTTTAACCACGAGCCGGGGCAATTCCTTTCTTTCAACGACCCCTTTTGTTCGTCGATTGGCAACGAACGAGGGTCGAATCGAGGGAGGCAGGTCGGTGATTATGAAAACTGGCTGGGTGGGGTCGTCATTAATCAATGAATGCACGCCACGGGCCAATTAACGAGAGCGAAGAGGAACCAGTAAACACGTGCCATTAAGTTTCACGTTGATGCGAAATGGCACACGAAGAAGAGGTGATTCCCAAGGTACGCATTATGGGGTCATTCGCGTAATCGCGTCGAGAAATTCGGTAATATTCTGGATACTTTATTTTGGGGCGATATATAACAGTGTCAGATTTTTAGTGTTACGATTTCGGGTTTTAAATGTATTGGAAAATTGAGTTTGTGAGTTGAGTTAAAGAGGGACAGGATTAGACCTATATTGTTAATAGGATGACTTTGAGAAAATGGAGGAAATGGAGTTGATGGTCACTGCAAAATTAGGTAAATTGAGAATTAAAAATTTATGAACCCGAAGATTAAGAAATTTTTAAAATTGGAAATTTATCGATTTGGATAATTGGATAATTGGAAGTGGGGGAATTTTAGAATTTAACAATTTCACAGCTTTTTAATTTCTGAATTAGGTAAGTGGGAAGCTTGGAAGTTTTAGAATTTTGTAACAAAAAAATTTGCAAATGTAGAAATTTCAGAACTTTGAAACATAAGAATTTACACATTTAACCTAATTAGAATATTCTGAAATTTGAGAATTTGGAGCCTTGGGAATCTGTGACTCCAGTAATCAATAAACTTTGACCAGTAATCAGTGAATCCAGTAAACCTTGTCAATTTTCCGAGTTAAAAGTTAAATAATTTGCCTTAATTTTTCCTGACGAGCGAATCTGTCCCACGCCACCACCACGCGACCACATGTAAAGTCTTCATCTCCAAAGTGAAGAAGAAAGACGATTAAAGCAAGCATATGTCACGTTCAATTCCGCAGTCATCTTTGTTTCCAAAGATTTGCTCTCGGTTGGGTAATTCATAAACGTCTTACGGTTGACCGTAAAACCCCGTACGATTGCGGTCGTAATTCTTTTCTGGTGGTACACGAACCACGTGGCTTGGAGACCGACCGTTTTTCAGTTTTCACCAGACAGAAGGTTATTGAACGTGTCGCAGTGTGGCAAGATAAACCGTGTGGAACGAACCACAGCGACATGTTCATTGTTACGACGAACGTGTTTCTCGTCCTCTGAACCTCGCTTTTCTCGTATACTTTCCATTCGGAAAACTGTGCACCTTGCTGCATAAATTCTCAATCAGATCTGGGTCACCATCAACTTTTGATTAGACTTTACGAATCTGATCTGACGATGTCTTTAATGAAGTACTGTGAAATCTGCAGGATTATGTTCAACAAATTTTGTTAATAATTATTGGAGCGATTATTTTGTCACGCTTTGGAAAATTCTTTGGAGTAATGATAAAGTAATCAACTTGATGATCTACTTTTCAAGTTTCTTCTTACTTTACGAATCTGATCTGGCGATGTCTTTAATGAATTACGGTGAAATCTGCAGGATTATGTTCAACAAATTTTGTTAATAATTATTGAAACGATTATTGAGTCACACTTTGGAAAATTCATTGGAGTAAAAATAAAATAACGAACTTGATGATCTACTTTTCAAGTTTCAAATTTGAGAAACCAGCTGATTATATATAAAATTATAGTTACCGGTGCTGCTGCCTATCTGATAAATCTCCAATTATTGATCTCTTAATTAACTATTAATCTATGATAACAACCCTAGGATTTGTTAATAACCTAAGATTAGTTCCCAGAAAAAGATCAGGACAAAGAAGATTAAATAATTAAATAATCTGAACAGCATTGTAAATAATTTTTACGACACTGAACCAACGTTAAAAGAAAAATTTCTTAGTGATTAAAAAATGAAGATAAAGAGAAAAGACCTTAATAAGAAAGAATAATCGCAACTGCTCCAAATTTCCCAAACAGTCCATAGAACCGAAAAAGGGGAGCTTGTATGTATATAACAGTACCTCTCGAAAAAACATGGCCAAACATCTTCTCTAACTGTACTGTTAACATCAACTGTTTCTTTTTTCCCTTTTCCCTTTTTCGAACCACTTCGAACGCATATTAAACCCGTCCACGAGTCGTTACAGCTGTTTTTCAAGTGCGCCAACGACCCAAGCCCATTCTTCGATTGTTAAACAACACGATGGTTCGATCTGTCCACGACGACCTCGACTCGCGCCCTTTCTTCCTTTTCCCGTTTCTTCGACCAGACAAATGCACGTCGCTTTTTTTTCGGATCGGTGCACGGAATCTTAATGACGAACCTCTTCGTCTCATGTATTCACAAACGACA